TCAGGTGAATATAGGAAAAGTTCTTAGTTGCACTTCAGAGGTTTCATTCAAGCGGGATGTGGTAGTAATGAAACTGCAAACAAAACAAATTCCTGGCATAACTTCAGTGGCACGAAAACATGCACACACTCAAAGTGTAGGCAGGTCCACACAAAGTTAAAAGCAAAAGTTAAGGAGATAGATAAAGGACCTGCTTGGTAGATGGTACACAATGAACTCCAACATATAGGAAGTAGGTCAAAAAAAAAAGTAAGGTGGAAGAAAGATTTCAAGATAGGACAAAGTTCCAAACCCCAAAAAAACCTCGCCCCAACAAATTCACACTCTATGAAAAGGATTGAGACTACAAAGTGCAAGGTATAAATACATAATCACCCCAAATAGGAAAGTCATTATTGACAGACTCCAAATCTAGGAGCAACAGCAGGACCAGATAGAAGACTAACAAAAAATTTCCTGTTGGTGCTCCCCTCGTGCTGTGCTACAGCATGCAAGACCTTTGCAAAACCTTTCTAAGGCCTGTAACAAAGGTCTGAAGCCACAGACACTGAGCTGTGCCTGTCCTTGGACAAGAGAAAAGGTCATTTCAGAAAGACCACCTAGGAAATGCTTGTAAACCTCAGAGACTCTTGGTCTTTTGGAAATACGGAATAACATCTTGCAGAAGAAGGGCAGGGGTGGGAGCAAGAAACTACATTAGGAAGAAGTGGAGCTCCTTTGGGAGACAGAAAAGTCCAAAACAGAATGGGTGACAAGATTGTCAGAAGTGACAAAGTGCCACTTGGAGCCTCTGTCCCTTCCTCCACCTGTTCAACCTTTCATACTTAAACTCTCAATTTTATTTCTTTTCATACTGTAGATTTTGTATACCGCAGTAAAAAAAACAACTGCCAGTTACTAAAAAAAAAAAAAAAGGCAGGAAGAAAAAAGGCAAGATGACAGAGATGCCATGATTTTAGATACATAAAAACAGACCAGGTAACTGACAAAAAGTGTGATAGTCACTGCTTTGTCAATGGAAATTTTGTCAGAGAAGATAAATCCAGTCCTGCCAGACGCATCCTGTCACCTACTCAATTGAGTCACCTTTGTGGTCTTGCTTTATTCACTGCACGGTATCTCAAGAGATGTCTTGTCTTTGTTATTATTGGTTGTCTTGTTTTCTTCTTTTTAGACATCCAAATATGAATTACTAAAAGCACTAAGCAGGTAAAATTTTCTGCTAAATGTTTCTAAAGTGTGTTGGGCAAGCCAGGATAAAAGCAAAGATGATAGAACTGCAACAACTGAACCCAAGACCTAGCAAGTGAAATTCTGAACTTTGTCTATGCCTAGAGTAAAGGTCTACCCGTTGCCGCCATTCTGTAAGTCTGGAACTGCGAGAGGGTTCGGGACATACCAGAACAACCAAGCTTTGTAGATACAAATCACAATTTCAAGTTAAATGACTTGTCTTCCCCAAGACATTCTTTCTAGTGCGACAACAAACTTGACTAGGCAGGTGATTACGCCCAGGGCAAAATCTGTGCTGTAACTGTTAAAATGTTATGAGAGCGTGCTGCTGGAGTTCATTCCTTCCCCGCCCTTGACAAGTCTGGACAACACAAGAACAACAACTAAAACAATTGTCCAGTATTTCAAATATCAAAGTTACTACACTTGTTGCTGCTCTGAAAAACAAAACCTAGAAACAAACTTTAGTCGTCCATGCTGTTGAATTCACCTTGGTAACAAGGTCCTTACTGTAGTCACACAGGCACAAATGCACATCCAACAATAGGAATGCGTACCACTAAGCTGGCAACGAGTCTTGAAAAATGACAAATGCTAGTGATGACTTACAGATTTGTGGAGATTCTGCATGCTACCCTTAGGCGGAGGACAAGTAATAAAACATGAGCTACACTTCCAAAAAGAAAAACAAATGAGGTCTTCTAAGTAAAGCAGGATGGCTCAGTTGGAATTGCTGTTCCACCTTCTATCTTTTGTTAGATCACTTAAGGACCAAGTTATTTCAGTTACCCTATGCAGGAACTCTCCTGGATGGGCCTGCTATTGGTGAGCAGTGGCACTTCGCTATTTCAAGCCACTTCTGTGTACAGAATGATTTCTTACAAACATCAGTACTTCCCAGTCATACATAAAGAAGAATGATGAGCATTAATATCAATAACTCCTTTCTGCTGTGAAAGGATTTCTATCTATATTGAGAGCAAAACCTTCAATGCATTTTTGCACAACATGTTTTGCAACACAAAGACTTACAGTTACTAGGTAAAGCCATTTAAATGCTGATATATTTTCATATTCCAAGAGCTTTAAAAATGGAATTATTCATGTTGAAGAAAACTGGTAGGGATATTATGAATGCACAGAGATTATTATAGAATAGCAAGATGTTGATACCTTTATCAGGAAGCACATCAACTTCAGGCACAGAAGAATCAATTTTTAACAGGAATATTCTGGACTTTATTCATTGGTAGATTCTCATACTTGGATTGAGATCATGCAAATCTCTTAAGCAGAAGGCTGTAAAGCTTTTCTCTGAATAAATTAATTTGGTTGGTAAGGATGTGACCTGGGACAATATTCTTACCTTTTTCAAATCAGAAGTGTTTGGAAGCTTAAAGTTCAGATCTTGGCACAAAATCTTCAACTAGTTGCATGCATAAACACCACGACATTTACAAGAAGACAACAAAATATTTTAATTTAAATATGCCCCATACTATACAACTGTATAAAATACCAACTAAGCATTCATTTGAACATTAAAAAAACCCAAACAACCAAACAAAAAACAAACAGAAGAAGCAAGCAGCACACTGTAGTAAAAATAACAGAAGGTGGCACAAGCCAGGATATACAACCAGAAACACAGGCGAGTTACTGTCTCACAACCTTTGTTTACAACTGCCATCAGAATGGGAAACACACTGTATCCATCCCAAGCCTTCCATGCTTTCTAGTGCCCACCTTATTAGGCAGATGTCAGTGTACTAAAATGACAAAAACCATATTAGTATTTAACATTGTGGGTTTTTTAACTTAAAGGTAGCACTGCTTTCTTCAGATTGCCAGGAAACAGAACAGCAACTACCTGGATTTCTAAGGCAAAACTAATGTTTTGATTGGTAATCATGGAAAGACAGAAAAAGGACAGAACAGGAATTATTCCAACAACTTTAAATTGAATGAACTGCAACACTAAGTCCAGCCGCAATGTGAGAAACATGGAAGATAATCTTGGAAAGGCTTAAAGGCAGTTGTGGCAAACCTACGTTTCCCTCCACTTTATTTTGTGTGCTAATAAGCAGTACATGTATCCAGCTGATTGTTACACCTTAGTAACACAAAATAACCTCATGCACCCCCATGTCCATGAAACATGGCTCCAGCAATACATGGCATTATCTCTTCTTAACACTGTTAACATGGAAAGAGTGCCACTTGAGTTAGGTCCAAGACAGACACCAAGAACCAGTGCTTGTTTTGGTTTACAGGGCATACTGATCAAAACAAGATCATAATCGCAGCTATTACTGAAGTTAAATATATTCCTGCTCTCTGTAGTCACAGGATGTCAATTTCTGTTTTGCTTAGTGTAATGGCAGGCCTTCAATAACACTGCATTTACACTGCACCACAGCTTGGAATGGCTCTGCTTACATCTTATTTTTTAAAATATATATTTATTTAAAAAACAAGGTGTGAACTTGGGCATTTAAGTCAATGTTTGCTTCAAATGGCACAGAAAAGATTTCTTTATATTAACTCCAGCTACAAAACTCATTCTCAGACCAACTGTGGCAAAAGCAAATCAACAGAGAACCATGCTTTTATTTCTAAAAACACGCTGACGAGCTTCAAACATCCCGTTTCTAAAACTGTAAGTGATGTTTTCCCACAGATATCAGTTACTATCTCTTAAAAAAAATACTGAAACCTATTTCAAAGTGAGGATCTCAATTTTAAAAAACAAGTAATAAAATACATTTCTGTCATCTTTCTTCCTCTAAACTTGTATCTCATGAGCTACTGTCTTTAAACACTAACATATATAAAACCCTAAAGCTTCTCCCACATATATCCATTACTTAAGTATGCATCATTACTTGGCATTAAGCATTTCTAAATACCAGCTTATTTTTGAAGCAAAGCTAAGAAAGTTTATATTTACGGACATACAAAGCCAGTAGAAAAAGATACAAGTGTGCAGCTTATAGAACAGTTCACATCAGGAATGAACGAGGAAAAGGCACTCCATCTCTCTGCTGTTCTACACACTGTGTCCAATTTTTCAATCAGTTAAAACTTTGCTCACAATTTAGATTCAGTACTGAGTAGAGTTCATGTCTCTCTGTTACCTTTTTTTTACTGAAAAATTACATTGCTGTGAATATGCAACATTAGCTTTATTTATATTTTTTTTTCCAAATGAGAAAGTCAAAGCTACCGAACAAATGTTATTGAAGATATAAATTATTTAAACTTAAATAATTTAAAATCAACTTATTTAAACAACTTTCCTATTGCACATTTTTCCATTTCTTTGCCAGATAAAACCCTATATAGGCATTTAAAAGGTTAAAATTTTAAAAGCACAAGTTACATAGCACCAAAATAAGATGCTGAAGAAATTGTATGCCTGCTGGAAAATGAGTGCCAATAAAAACAAATATAAATATATATGTATATACACATCTAGTATTAAGTCCAGGATGCTGAGATAATAAATACTTTAAACAATTTCCCAGATTTCCAGAAATATGTGAGAAACTATAGAAAATAATGCAAAGTTACTTTAGAAGACCAAGAATACACATGCACAAAATCTATTATAAGAAAAAGGTTTACAATTCCCATACTTTAATCTTTAAAACCACCTCTGTTATCGCTATGTACTTCACAAAATGACTAGCCTATTTGAGGATTTATGTGAGTCAGAACAAAGAGAGCTTCCCCCAGTTGCTTTATAATGGAAGAGCCTACAGTACCCCCCAAAAAAGAAACCTAGTTTGTCCTGTTATGTCTCAAAATGTCATCTTCTGCCTATCTTTTGTCCCCAGTGATCTGGGAACACACTCATGGCATACATCAACCTGCAGCATCAAAAATAAGGACGAAACTTCCCATGTTTTTTTCTGAGCAAACTTATACTGGAATTTCTCCTACTATAACTGCTGCAGTTGCCACCAAATCTGTGAACCGCTGTTTCCACAGTAAATGTTTCCCTTGCATATGTCTACTTGTAACCCTTGGAAAAACAACAGCAGTTCAACTTAAGTGGGTAGGAGTATAATCTGGCCTTCTCGTCTGAATAATTTTTGGTTTGGGTTTCTTTGTTTCTTCTTCCACGTCGTTTTCCTGGTCACTCTCACATACGTGGACGACAACACTAGGAGTAGTGTCAGTTGCAGCATGTAGCTCATACTTTTCTCCTGAAAGTTAAATATTAACAAAACTGGTTAAAAAGGATCCATTCTGTAGAAAAGTATGAAATAAATTACTAGAAAGAAAGGAATACATGAAAACCAGTAAGTAATACACTGATGACAAATCCTGATGCCACAACACATTAGATGGTGCAGGCAGGTGCACTGCCAACAGTCACATTTACCATCCAGAAGTATTTAGGTTCTGTTTTCAGTGCAACACAGCTGAGCTGCTCTCTTAAAAGCTAGTTTACATAAATTACCCTAAGCATTCAAGAAAGCATTCTACATAAGGAGTTGTAAGGCTTCTTGGTGGGTTTTTGTCATTTTGAAGCGTACAAGACTATCTATCCACTGTACCACATTCAGGAAGACTTTGGTTTTCTCAATGACGGCAAAACCACAGGATCTTCCTTCCCCCTAAAAGCTGTCAGTGTTAAGCAAGCTGGATGCAGTCCTTCCCACCTCACACAGAGGTGCTCTAGCACTGCCCTGGCACTCTGTGAAGCAGCAGAGCTTGACAGCAGGCTTCACGCATGTAAAACATGAAACATTTAGATATAATACAGACAGTGTGTAGAAGTGCTACGATACAAATTTTGTTGACTACTGATCTGAAATGTGTTTTTTCCATAATATAAAGAAATGCTTTGAAATCCAATCAGGTGTTAAGGAATTCTAATCTTACATTAGATCAG